TTTTTTGTTTTTTTTGTTAGTTTTACTTTTTATGAATACTGAATTTATTTAAACACTTAGTTTAGGTCAATTAAATAGAGCTTTTTTACAAACTAATTTTAGAGGTAGAAAAATACCACACACCTTTAATGCACTTATAATAGACACACATAAACATATAGACAGATATAAACAGAGACCTTCTGGCCTCTGTTTTACTAGTTAAAAAGAATTTGTATCTAAGTTGGTTATCTGGTAGTTAGAGTAATTTAAGGCTACTTGAGTGGATGGCTTAAACTAAGTTTTAAATGATGTTTTCTTTTTTCATTTTTTTCCTGATAAGAATTATCTCTGAAGTTGTACTTTAACATTTACATTTCAAAGACACAGGAAAGAATACAAGTTACAAGACTTCTAAAATAAATAGGGAAGGTTTGGAGACTGGTAAAAGGAAACAGATGAACTTTGAAATGCTTCTAGAGTTGCATTTTCTAGTTTTGTAAAGAAGTAATAAATCTGAAGATCTAATTGACTTTGTTCAACAATTCATGAGTCAGGCAGCATCCCATTTAGCAAAGAGAAGAGAGCTCCAAATGACTGCAGAAGGGGAAAGAGACTAGAGGCACACAGTTAGGAAGCCTAATAGTATCCTGAATGATAAATGGTAAAAAACTTAAACCAAGGGGTGCCTGGGTGGCTCAGCGGGTTAAAGCCTCTGCCTTTGGCTCAGGTCATGATCCCAGGGTCCTGGGATCGAGCCCCACATCGGGCTCTGCTCAGCAGGGAGCCTGCTTCCCTTCCTCTCTCTGCCTGCCTCTCTGTCTGCCTGTGATCTCTGTCTGTCAAATAAATAAATATAATCTTTAAAAAAAAAAAAAAAAACTTAAACCAAGGCTATTGCAGTAAGGATGTAAAAGAGATATTTAAAGATTGAAACAATGTAATTTAGTGATCCATTTGGATGTGAGCCTCGCAGGGTTCGATGCCACAATCTGAGATCATGACCTGAGCCAAAATCGAAAGTCAGATGCTTAATTGACTGAGCCACCCAGGCACCCCCGAAGATTTTTAAGTCAGGGCATAACACCCTTGTATTACAGTAAGCCCCATAATGTATGAAGGCTAGTTTAGAAGTACATGAAACTAGAGGCATACATTTCAGAGACCTAACAGTATCCCAAGTGATAAATGGTAAAGACTCAATCCAAGGCTATTTCAGTGAGGGTGGAAAAAAGATGGGAACAATGTAATTTGGTCCAAATTTGGTCATTTGGATGTGAAGGTTACAGAAGAGAGGAATTAAGAATGTTCAGATGTCTAGCTTTGGTATATGATGTTAAAGAAAAAAAATTATTTATGACACTTGTTAAAGGAAGTAAGGGGGACCATTACAAAGAGGTTTTATAGTAGGTGAGAGAAATTGGGCTCAACTCCAAATACAACAACAAAAAGGGAATTGTAACCAAGGAGAGTAGAATGCAAAACAGTGGTTAAAGAATTACTGAGAAGAAACTCTAGGGGTAAGGGATGATACTGTCTAAACCAGCCTAATAGGGGTAAGGGATGATACTATCTAAACCAGCCTAATAGTGTTCTTGCTGAACGCAGGCCAAGGTGATCAGACACCAGCTGGAGGATGTTGAAGGAACTTGATTAGATATTGGGGTTAGGGATTCTAATTAAACTGTCTTAAGCATGATTCTTGCTAAAACTGGACAATCAAAGACAAACACAGAAGCCAAAGGGAAACTCCCTTTGAGAAAAGAGTTCAGAACTGCTGAGTAGTTTGGTCAAGGAGAGAATCTTTTGGTGGTGATATTCTAGACCCTTGATAAAGAATACAAGAGAAGGTTGTAGAAGAAAGAATTTCAGTCTGGGATATACTGAGTTTCAGATCTCTAGAACATCAGAGTGGAGACTGTCCTGTAGGCAGTTGGACTGTGTACATAGATATAAATATGTATTACTTAGCATGCATTTAATTAAAGCGAAGAAATTTCCCAGGTGTGAAAATGAAAGAGCAAGCTCTCCCAAATGAGCAGATGAGAATACAGTCAAGATCAGAATCCTGGGAGAACATTCATATCCAAAGTACAAACAGAGAAAGAGAAATCCATAAGGAAGAGTTAGAAGGACCTCCCAAGACTTAAAGAGAAAACCAGGAGCTTCCATGGTCATAGAAACCAAGAAAGGGGATTTCAGAAGGAAGTGATCAACTAAATATGTTACTCAGATATAAATCATGAAAGGTGTTCTTTGACTTTAGCAAACAATTTGTTAATGGTGATCTTTGCAAAGGCAACTTCATGAAGCAGAGGAGCCAGAAAGCTTATTGCTGTGCATTGAAATTTGAATGGTAGTAGCAGAAGATACTATAGTATTAATAGTCTACTTTCTATGGAATGCTACAATTAGATCATCACAAAATTTGAGTCTAAGGAGACAAGATGGAACAGTAGTTAGAAAGTGGTGTATGGGAAAGATTTTCATTTTGCAGGGGGTGAGGAGGGGGTTGTTTGAGTTTAAAGGTGAAAGAATGAGTTCAAGGAAAAGAGTTTAAAAAATTAGTTTAAAAAATAAAGTTTAAAAAATTAGGAGTGAAAGGTATTGATGGATTTGAACGTAGTTCATGAAGAAATACCAAGGCTTGGGATCTAGGGAAGAGGTAAAGGGGTTCTCTTCATGAGGAAAATGGGTATCATGCATCCTGAAACTGAAAGAAGGAAGAAGGGTCTTGTAAGAAATATTTTGGTTGTTGGGAGATAGGAAGTGATGGAAATCCAATCTAGTGGCTTCTGTCTTCTCAATGACGGAAGAAAAAAAAATTTCTAACTAAAGTAACTAATGATATCTTCTCTGCTTATAAACTGTTGGACAGTTGTTTACTGAATGAATGAACGAAATACTGAAGGAAGTATACCAAATATTAATAACAGTTCTTTGGGATTATAGAATTATTAGTAATTTTTATTTTCCTTAATTTTTCCCTTATTTATTACAGTGGAAATGTATATTTCTGTAATAGGGTTGGGGGAGGGGTGGTAGTGTATAATTGATGAATTTTTAGCAAAGCTCACATGAAAGTTAGAAGCTGCTCAGAGATTAAACATGATTTTGACAACCAAGACTTCCTAGTGGAAGTTCTGATTATTTGGCTATGCAGTGGTCTTACTGCAGATAAATTTAATGAAACAATTGGTTTAATTCAGCACCTTCTTCAGAAGTAACATATCTTTAAACGGGAAGTTTATAATGTAGGTGTCAAGGGCGAATCACCCCAAGATGTGCCACTTTGGCATGCCGCTTACTCAGAACTGAAAGTATTCAATACCCAAAAGACTCTAGAAGAAACTTTGATCTCCACCTACCCCCTGATTACCTAAAGGAATTAAAGGCCCTCCTCCCAGAAGGGAGCTATCACCATAGATAACTACAGTATAATATAAACTAGGGATGGTAGACAGGAACTTAGCAAAGTCTCTTTCTTAAAATTCCTCTCTATGTCCCATTTGTGTCTGTGTGGCCTAGAAAACATTTGTTTACCAAACATTAACTCTTCCATCTTCCTATGAATTGCTTTCCTTTTCTTGAAATCCCAGACCCCTACCCCCTTATCTTTAGCTCACGATGACAAATACACTTCCTTTTGCTTGTCTTTAGAATCTCATGTCTTTGTGCATTCCCCATACATACAAAATTAAATTTGGTTTTCTCCTGTTAATCATTCTTATGTCAGTTAAATTCTTAAACCAGACAAAAGAACCTTAAGGGTAGAGAAAATTTTTTCCTGCTTGAATAGCTTCAGTAACTTTAGTCTTGGGGGGGGCGGGGAGAAGGCAGAGGGAGAGGAGAGAAAGAATCTTAAGCAGGCTCCATGCCCAGCATAGAGCCCAACACAGGCTTGATCCCATGACCCTGAGATCATGACCTGAGCCAAGATCAAGAGTCAGACGCTTAATCAGCTGAGCTGATTAGAGTTAGAATGTCTAGGTTGGAGTTGTGGGCATATGCTCTCTGTATGATCCTACGTGAATAGCATTCATTCTAGCCAACTCTTCTCATTTGTAAAATAGAAAAGGAATATTCTTTATAAAGAGACATTTGATAATTGAATGAGAAGTACATGCAAGTTTCTCTAATAAATATATAGTCACTTTACCATCCTATCATACACCAAACAACAATTGCTTCACTAAATTTCTCCTCAAAATATGTATACATAATTTTTTTGTGACTTCATGTATGTGTTGAATCATCCTTTTAAAGAAAGATCCAGCTTATAGATACATTTTTCTATTTTTTATTTCCTACAGCAAATATTTTCTTAACCTAGCTGGAAAACATTCTATATTAATTTCTGGTAACTTTGGAAACACTTTTTTTCTTTAATTTTGGTTTCAACAGATCTTAAAGCTCAAACTTTAATAAGATTAAATGTGTTAAATTTATTACTGTTTGGGAGAATCCATTGATTAATAACCAGTTAGAAAACATCCAGTAAAATCAATATGAAAACTTCTCTTTAACATCCTAGAAAGTAAACACACAAATGGAAAGCTAGATAACTAATAAAAGAGATGAAATCTAAGTAAATCTAGACTTCAGAACTAGAAGGCAAAAACAACTTACATGTATTAACAAATTAATATAAAAATGTTCAGAGTGTATATAATACATGTAATATTTATAATACTATATAAGATTGCTTACAAACACTCCTACAGCAACTAGTAGAAAAGTACCTGGTATCCTTCTTTTACTGGGAATTAAGCCAGACTTTTTTTTCCCTAACTAACTCTGTATTTTAATATTGTACATTAAAAAAAATATATGCCTTTTTGTGTGTTTGTTTTTATTTAACTCCTCTTTGGGGAATAATAAATTCTGGGAACAAATGATAGGTGAGAATCCAAAAGGACTAGAAATAACATGGTTCAATCGGTAATATGAAAGTTTTATAACTTAGTAAAATGTTTTTGGTGTATGGTTATGATTTCTCAACCCAAGTTTTATTCTCCAAGTTAAATACAATGATAACAGAAAGCAGGAGAGGTGTAAGAACTCTGAAAGAAGAAGTTCAAAAGCTGGACGATCTTTACCAACAAAAGGTTAAGGTAAGAACTTTGCCACAGTTTGTATAGGTAAGCTTTGACCTATTCTTACATCTAAGTAAACATTTAAGCTATATCCTATAACTTGTGTTTCAGTTTAGTCTAATCTTCTAAAGTTTATTATAAAGAGTTATTTTGTCCTTTTAAAGGATTTTTTTCCTGGAATTGGGCTGTTTCACACGAGAACACATTTACTGTTTCATTAATATTTTAGACTTGAATATGAGATTCTGTATCCTTGTAAGACCAAAACATGTTTTAAATGCAATCTCTTCTACCTTTTTTAGAAATTTAGTGTTAAGTACTCCTAAAGCATAAACCTCCAATAAGGCTTTGTGTATGTGATTGCCTGTAAAGAGTTATAGCAAACTGACTAACTTGGCCAAATCACAAAGATATTTTATATGAAATTAGAATGTGGGTAAAATAATAGGATTCTTTTCCCACCACCTCTAATCCATCCACCTTCTCACCAGTGTTTTACTTAGGGAAGCACTCATGTGACTATTCATTACCATTTATAAAACTTACAAGAGAATTTTAGTCATACTAATATCTTTCACTTAGTTACAGCAACAAAGTATTAGGAATTGGAAATTTTCTCTTGGCCTTGTATTGCATTTAGGGCCTATACATTTTGTTAAGTAGTGAGAAATTTTTAGAAAATACACCACAGTAATATGATCTACACGTGAAATATGAGCCAGTTGGTAATCATTGTTGTTTTCATATGTTCTCCATGACAGTACTTGCATTTGTGCTCTTAAAGCACTTTAGTGAAAGGCTTTCATATTTCATCTTAACCTAAGAGTTGATGACTTTGGGCTCCTTTTCCTGTGCATATTTCACATATGTGAAATAAAGGTAGTGTGAAAGTTACCCACATTTTGCATGTATAAAAGACCTCTTGATGATCATAGGAAATATTTAAATCATTATCCTAAGGTTTCCTATAGTACCTACCTGAAAATACCGCTGAATGAATTCCATATAAGGCCTGTTGAGCAGGTCATATTTAGGTTTACAGTATAAAATTTCCAAAGAAGCTTTTTAAAGTCTCATACATGTAAAACAGTACACATTCTGAGAATATAAATGATGGTGCAACCTGATTTTTTTAATGTGTTACATATATATGGTATGTGGAGTATAGTATATGGAGTATATAGAACACAAACATTAAAAATGATAACCATACGCTTATATTGATAGGAAGCTGAAGAAGAGGACAAAAAATTTGCCAGTGAGCTGGAGTCCTTGGAGAAACACAAGCATCTGCTGGAGAGCGCTGTTAACGAGGGCCTCAGTGAAGCTATGAATGAATTAGATGCTATTCAGCGAGAGTAAGTTCATGTAACCAAGATTTATAATGTTTATTTCAGATTAATTATTTAACATTTCTGTAAAACCAGATCTATGTTTATTAGCTTTAATTTATATTTTAGAGCTACTTGGGAAAGAGGAAGTAGTGTACACAGAAAGAGCCTGTAACTTGAAATACTGTCCCTAAACGTATTCTGCTACTCTTATAGCTATTGCCTCCTAAGAAAGCATTTATTTTTACATATAATTAATAAATGGCTTTCAAACACTGAAAACAGCATAAAATTTTCAATCAGTTGAAATACTTTGGCTATTTGTTACTATTTTTAAGATATTTATACTTTCTAGAAATTATATATACAATAAACTGTATACTATAAATTATATGATCATTGTGCTGTAACACATTATGTGCCCTCATAATAATCACCACACTGCAAAATCATGCAGTAAAAAATCAGGACCTACAGTAAAATTGGGATTGGGCACAACACTCAAAATCAGCCAGTGACACACATAAACAAAAGATGGGAACCTAACTAAAATGTTAGCACAATTGTACATATGTTAAATGTTTAAGAAGTACATAAATGCTATGATAAATATGACACTTTATCTTAAAGAGTCCGGAAGTTTGCCTGGGAAAGGGGCATTCAAAGGGTTGCAGCTTTTAAATTATTGAAATGAGGTGGAAGGAGAATTATCCAAAATCAGATGGGAAGTTTTAACACCAGATGTGGATGCATGTGACTCATCACATAATGTAATGAATTGAGGGAGCTGGTACACATTTGAGGTGTGTGTGTATATGTTTTTATATTCCTTTGCATCTGGATTCAGCTGAGGGCAGTTTTCTGCATTCGCTTAGTGTTTCTCAAGAAGGAAATGGCATAGGGACAACTGTATGACTCAGCTGAAGAACATGCAACTTTTTTTTTTTTAAAGCATGCAACTCTTGATCACAGGATTGTGAGTTTGAGCCCCAAATTGAGTGTAGAGATACTAAAAATAAATAAATAGATAAACAAGCAAACAGACTTTAAAAAAGGAAAGAAATGTCATAAGCAAATACAAATTTTTGCATTATGGTCAAATTGCTACGTAATATTTCAATCCAAATGGAACAAATACGTGTTTCCAAACAAGTAGCAGAACTAACTCTATATGCTACATTTCTTAGTTCTTCATTATCAAATTACACATTGTCAAGTTTTCCCTCTTGATTTCCATATTATTTTAAAACTTACAAGAAAGAGTTTTAGCCACATTGTGTATTAACAGTAACTAAAATGGTGACATCCTTTTTTAAAGAGTATTCTGCCTTTGTGTATATAATTCTCTCATGCAACCCATAGAAAGTCAATATACTGAATCCATAGGCTCTTTTTTTTAAAGTCTTAATTAAGTGACCCTCAACTAAAAAATTCTGACTTTGAGATCAGAAGTACAACCTTTAAGAAAATCACACCTCTTCATTTGTTTATTTGTAGTTTAGGGATAAAAAACTCACCTGAAGCATTTTTTTGGCTTGCAGTCTTTGTTTTTAATTTGAATTTGCATATGTAAAAAAAAAAAAAAAACGAGACTCCCACTCCCCATTCAAATGTATTGAATGCCTTCTCCCTGAAAGCATTTAAGCTTACAACCCTTTTGGAGATTCAGTGAAGACCAATTGCTCCCAAGTTTTGTATGTTAAGGCACAAGGTTTTGGTGCTGTTTTGTTTTGTTCCTTGCAAAAGATCTTTGAAAATGTTTTTCCGTCTTAATGGCTGAGAAGCAAACAGCGCATATACCAAACACAGTCTGCGTTTATTGAATATGAAAAGGAGAAGTGAGCTAACTAGAACTGATGGATTAGGGTTTTTTCCCTAGACAACTCAAGCAAGAGTTTTTATTCTACAGATACCAACTAGTTGTGCAAACCACAACTGAAGAACGACGAAAAGTGGGAAATAACTTGCAGCGTCTTTTAGAGATGGTTGCTACACATGTAGGGTCTGTGGAGGTAAGTATATGAAGGTCTTTCCTACATTCTAATGAAGCTTTTTAAAACTGTATATCTATTTTGTTTCTATAGAAATTAAATGATAAATTTTATTTCTATGGAAAATATGTTCTGTTAAAAAGTTATCAGAAGAGTCCTGTTTAGTGGTGTGTAAGGAGCATCTGCATTTCATAAAACAATCTGTTTTGTTCACATAACAACAACATAAACATAACATATAATGTTATATATGTGAACATATACTGTTCATATAACAACATAAACAACATGTAATGGTATCTATTACATCAATAGTATATAATCATGCACCAGGCCACATTCTACATACTGAAAACATATCAACACGTTTAAGATTTCAGTAAGATTAAGATGAAAGAGCATGTGTTATGACAAATATTTTTCCTTTCCATTAATTTCATGTAAAGTACTTATAAAATATAGAATAAAGTACTTATGAAACGTGAAGCATGGCTTAAAAGTTCAATAGTAATACTATTCCTCCAACCTGCTGTACAGAGCCCAGAAGCCAAGCTAAACTGCTAACCTTTAAAATTCCTGGGTAGTCTATTTGGTGATAATATATTTCCAATCGTGAATAGTTTAAGAGAAAAAAAAACCTCATTATATCACATTGTTAGCCTTCCATTTATTGAAAATAGCATGTGATATGCTATTTCTCCTCCTTTCTCCTAAAAGACATTGAACTGCATTTTCTTGTTTGCTAGTGTTCTTCAGTGCTTGGTGAAAAGAACTAAGAAAAATGAGCTGGATCCTACATCAGAAAACCTGGCTTCTCCCCACTTAGTGGCTCTATAACCTTTCATAAGTTCTTTTTCAACAAGTATTGTTAATTTGAACCACAGACCAGATAATTATATGAGTAATTACTTTCTTGTTCTCTCAAGGGTGATGTATAATGAATGCATAAGAGGAAAATTCATTCACAACCTGTGATGATTGGCTCAGATTGAGAAAGTCTACTTATATATATCATTTTGCTTCTTTTGGTCTTCACTTTCTCCATCTGTGTAATGAGAGGGTTGTACTAAATTATTGCCAACATCTTCGCATCTCTATTATCTATAACAATTAGTTTGACCTCAGTGTTAATCCGATAGTGATTTATCACAAGGGATTTATGTGAAAGGAAACCACAACTGTTAAAAAGTTTTACTCAGTTAACATGAAGTTAGATTTGAAACCCTAATGATTATTACCTTTTAGTTTCTATTTAGTTCATTGTTGTTCAAGATCAGACGGCATTTTCAGAGCACTTACTTTGCACTATGTAAAAATTACAAATAGCCAGTAAACTATGGAAGGAGCCCCTAAAGGCAACCAGTCATCTTTAAAACCTAATGTGAGGAAATTTTACAAGTGATAAAATTAGACTGTAGAAAGCAGAGGACTGTGGATCTAATGGTATCTTTAAATGGGATATTTTTCTTCTGAGGTAAAACGTTTCCTTGAGCAGTTCCTGGTTGTAGCCCCATGCAGGTCCTGTATGTGTCTTGATATTTTAGACTAGGAGAGAGCAAACTGCAGCTCACAGGCCAAATTGTGCCCACAGACTGCTTTTGTAAATAAGTTTTATTGGAACACAGACACTTCATTCACTTCCATACTCTTTATGGCTGCATTCCCACTACAGTGGCGGGGTTGAGCAGTTGCAACAAAGGCCATTTGGTTCACAAAGCCTGAAGTATTTGTTATTTGGACCTTTACAGGAAAAAGTTGCTGACTCCTGTTCCAGACTTCTACCTTCTTGAAGGGCACAAAATCTTTTTTGTCTGTTAAGATGTTCAGAAATTATTATAAAGCCGTAATAACAAACCCATTGTAGTACTGATGCATATAAACCAAGCTCTGACAGAGTCCGGAAAAAGATGGATGAGCATAGACAGAAGTTATATTTTTAAGAGAGGTTGTATTGCAGACTAGTGGGGTAAAATGAATTGTTCAATTAATGGATTTGGGATTCCTACCTTAAACCGTAAACAAAAATCACTTCAAGATGGATTAAGAAATTAATGTGAGGCTAAATTTATTTTTTTTTTGTAGAGAGAAGGAGGGCTGGGGAGAGGGGCAGGGGAACAGGGAGAGAGAACCTTAAGCAGGCTCCGCTCCCAGTACAGAGTCCAACATGGGGTTCAGTCCCACAACCCTGAGGTCATGACCTGAGCTGAAATCAAGAGTCAGACACTTAACCTACTGAGCCACCCAGGCAGCCCAAAGTGAGGCTAAATTTTTAACGTTCAGAAAAATTATAGACACCATTTTTATACCTCAGGAGTTGTAAAGGAGTTCTTAAATTAGGCACAAAGAGTAAAAACCACAAAAGTAATTATTTATAAATTCACCTTTGTTAAAATTAAGATCTCTACATCAAAAGACAAAAACCTGGGTGGCTCAGTTGGTCAAGCTTCTGCCTTCAGCTCAGATTATGATCCCAGGGTCCTGGAATCAGCTCCGCATCCAGCTCCCTGTTCACTGGGTAGTCGCTTTTCCCTCGCCCTCTGCCCCTCCCCCCCAATTGTTTACTCTCTCTAAATAAATATGTATAGAATTTTTTTAAGTGGAAAGGCAAGCCACAAAAAAATAATTTTTTAAGACAACTAATAGTATCCAGATACATAATGACCTCTGAGAAATAAGTACAGAAGGTGGGCAAAAGACTTGAATGGGAATTTCACAGAAAGCTAAAGTGGCCAATAAACAGGAAAAGATCTACCACTTCCCACCCTCAAGAAATTGGCAAAAAAATTAAAGTTTGGGAATACTAAATGCCAGCAATAACATAGAGAAATGCAAGTTTTCATTTATACTACAGGGGTTGCAAACTGATGTTAACAGTTTTAGAAAACAAATTTGCAATCCCTGATAAAATGGTGCAGTTCCATTCTAGGTATTAAGTTAAATTTTTACACTGTGTGCTAGAGTACTAGCACTATTAGTACTAGTACTATACTAGTTGAATAGTATCCTCTCAAAATTCATGTGTATCCAGCATCTCATCATGTGACCTTATTTGAAAATAAGGTCTTTGTGGATGTCATTAGCTAAGATGAGGTCATAATAGATTAGGGTAGGTCCTCAACCTAGGGACCAGTATCCTTATAAGAGTCCATGTGAAGATGGAGGCAGAAATTAGAGTGACACAGCTGTAAACTAGGGATTGCCCAGAACTGCTAGAAGCTGGTAAGAGGTGAGGAAGGATTCTTCCCTAGAGCCTTCAGAGAAAGTGGCCCTGTCAGTATCTTGATTTTGGACTTCAAGCCTCCAAAACTGTGAGAAAATAAATTTCTTAAGCCATATAGTATGTTGAGATTTGTTATAGTATAATTGAAATAGTAAAAAACATAACCCAGCATATTAATTTCCTGTTAGTGCTATAACAAATTACCACCAACTTAATGGCTTAAAGCAACACGGATTTATTTCCTTATATATCTGGAGATCGGGAGTGTAAAATGGGCCTTCCAGACTACAATCTTTCTAGAGACTCTAAGGTGGAATTTCTTTGCCTTTTCCCTTTTCTAGAGCCACCTACACCCCTTGGTTTGCAGCCTCTTCATCTTCAAAGCCAGCAGCACAACATCTTCTATCCCCTCTGACTGCTTTTCTGTCCTTACATTTTCTCTTTCTGACTCTCACATTGCTGATTCCCTCTTACCAAGACCCTCATGATTACATTGGGCCCACCAGGATAATGTAGAATGATCCCCTTTTCTCAAACTCCTTAACTTAATCACATCTGTAAAGTTCCTTTGCCCCTATAAGATAATGTGTTCATAGGTTCTGGGAATTAGGCCATGGACATCTTTGAGGAGGCTGCTATTCAGCCTACCATACCTGGAAATAAACTAAAATTCATTAATAGTAAAATGGATAATAAATATTGGTATGTTCATGCAATAGAAAACTATTTGTCAGTACATGAATAAACAAGCTATCTGTATTAACATCAATGAATCAAAATACTGGGTGGAAAAAAGTCATAGAATGTTGTATTTAATATCATTCAGTAAATATGAATGTTAAAACCAGGTACCACTAAACTAGCATATTGTTCAGAGATACATACATATCTGTGTGGGGCGGGGGATAAAAGTATAAAGAAAAACAAAACAATGTTGAGAGTGGTTGGCCCTGGGAAGAAAAATGGGGATATGACTAGGAAAGTACACAAAAGAGTATCCCTTATATTCCCTGTTCTTACAAATGTTACCACTTATTTATATATTTTACAATTAAACTCTTTAAAATAAATTAATGTTTCTTTGCTAATAATTGCTCATTGTTTTTACTAGAAACATCTTGAGGAGCAGATTGCTAAAGTTGAGAGAGAGTATGAAGAATACATGTCTGAAGATCTCTTGGAAAATGTTAGAGAGATTGGAGACAAGTATAAGAAGAAAGCTGCTCTAATTAAGCCTTCTGATGAATGAAGATAAAATACTGATTATCTAAACAAGAACTTTATTAACAGTGTAAATTTTTAAATGTCCTTTGTAGGTTCGAAAAATCTCTAACATATCTTATACCCCTCCTTACAATGAAGTCTTATGACCATATCTTCCCAAGCCTGTGAAATATTTTTATATTTTTTATAAACCTAGTTTGTTAATTTAAAGCATGTATAACCTGAAATTATGGTAACTTGTTAGATTGTTATCTTTAGACGTGAAAGACTAGTTATATTATGTATCCAGAGTTAATAAAATTATATCAACAAAGTGTGTTTTTCCCTTATTTCTCAATCTAACTTCAGATGGTTAGAAGACAGTTATTTTGATCTAAACCAGGAATCAGCAAACTGTGGGCCAAATGCAATCACATCCATTCATTGACACATCATCTATGACTTTCACGGTACAGTGGCAATGTTTATTACATTCGTTAGACTGCAGGCCCAAAAATTAATTATCTGGCCCTTTACATAAACTTCTCCAGTCCCTGGTATACACTCTACAAAGGCTGGGGCTCTTTAAAAATAACATAGTCCATGGGGCACCTGGGTGGCTCAGTGGGTTAAAGCCTCTGCCTTCGGCTCAGGTCATGATCCTGGGGTCCTAGGATCGAGCCCCGCATCGGGCTTTCTGCTCAGCGGAGACCCTGCTACTCCCCCTCTCTCTGCCTACTTGTGATTTCTGTCTGTCAAATGAATGAATCAAATCTTTAAAAAAAAAAAAAAATAGTCCAACTCATTCCTTATTCAGAGCCCGGAAGCTAAATTTCTTTCTGACTTTGTGCCACCATTACTCTGAAATGAGCAGAAGAATATGGAATGTGATAATCAGAAGAAATAAATAGTTCAATCCCCTCATATTAGAGATAATTCTTTTCTAGAAATGTTCTGATTTACTTCTGGTCACACCTCTTTGTAGGGATAGATGTCACAGAGGAACTTATTTGTAACGTACACAATTCTCACTCTGCACAACCAGCCACAGGAGCTATGAGATCAATGTTCTGGATGGTAAAGAAGTCATGTAGGAACATAATATTATTTACTTTAAATTGTTAGGAAGCTCTTCAACTGGTAACTGCCTCTAGTTGAACTTTTTAATCAAACTTTATTACAACTCATGCAAAATGAACATGATAAAATGAAATGTAAGCAATTTAAGAACTGAAAATGGAATTCCACCAAAGCTTTATGAAAGGATGGCATGCAGCCTGAGAGGGTGGGATGAACAAAAACAGGTTATAGTTAGGAGATAATAGGACAAGATTAATAGTTACCAATGTAGTCAAGAATCTTGGCCATTAACATCCAACAGAACTTTCTTCAATGATGGAAATATTTTATCTGCACTATTCAGTATTGCACCAGCCATATGTATCTCTTGTGCACCCAAATGACACATCTATTTATGACAAAAACAGCTGTGTCCCTCAAACTGTATGGAAACAGCAGCATTAGCATCACCTGGATATTCATGTTTTAGTTAAAAATACAGACTCTTGGCCCCACCCAAACCTACTGAATCAGAATCTGAACCTTTCATAGTGTATTGACATAAACTATACATATTTAAATTTTTTGTAAGTTTTGAATCCATATACACCTATAAAACCATCAAAACTAATGAATATATATCCATCACCACTAAAATTTCCTTGTGGCCCTTTGCAATCTTGTCTCCCCCGACACCTGCCCTCATCTATTTCCAGGCCTGTACTGATCATCTTTCGGTTATTATGGATTAATGGAATAGTATGTACCCTTGTATGGTTTCAGAATATTTTGAGATCTAAGATTATTTTGAGGTCCACATTGCACTGGATATCAGTTCATTCCTTTTTGCTGACTAGAGTTCATTATATGAATATACTGAGTTTGTTTATCCATTCACCCTATTGATGGACATTTAGATTCTTTAGTTTTTGCCTTACAAATAAAGTCATGAACGTTCAACTACAAGTGTTTGTATGGACATATGATTTCATTTCTCTTGGGTAAATACCTAGGATAGGACTGGCTAGTTCATACAGGGTAGGTGCATATTTGACTTTTATAAAATTTAGATGTTTTCTAAAGTAACGGTACCATATGTTCCTACTTGCAATGTATGAGACTTCCAGTTCCTCTACATCCTTACCCACATGTGGTATGGTCAGTCATTTTAATTTTAGCTATCATTAGGGTATGGTTCTATCTCATTGTGATGTTAATTTGCACTTCTCTAACTTTTTTTCATGTGCCTATTTTTCAGACATATATCTTCATTGTGAAGTGTCTTTTCAAATATTGGCCCATGTTTTTACTGGATTGTTTCCTATTACTGATTTGCAAGATTGTTTATATGTTCTGATACAAGTCCTTTAGTTTGGGAACATTTTCTCCCAGTCTATGGCTTGCCTTTTCACTTTGTTAATAGCATCTTTTGAAAAGGAAAAGGTTTTAATTTTTATGAAGCCCAACTTATTGCTTCTTTTATACTTTTCCGTACTTTGTGAAGTTTTCAAGGAATCTTTGCCAACATCACTGATTTTCATCTATATTTCATTCTAGATATTTAATGGGCTTGACTACTGAATCAAAATCAGAATCCAAACTTGAATCTTTAAAAGGTCCCCAAGTTGTTCGTATGTACGTTTAAAATTTGAGATGCACTACTTTAAAAATCACCACTAGTTAAGTATTATTCATAGTGTAATACAATTTAATAGTGACTTTATTTTTATTAAGATTTTATTTATGTATTTGCCAGAGAGAGAATGAGAGCGCAAGCAGAGGGAGCATCAGGCAGAGGAAGAAGCAGGCTCTCCGCTGAGCAAGGAGCCTGATGCAGGCCTCCATCCCAGGACCCTGGGATCATGACCTAAGCCAAAGGCAGATGCTTAACCAACCTAACCACCCAGGTATCCCTAATAGTGACTTTAGAAATGACAGAAAAGACATACTAAGTTCAAACAAAATGACTGTCTAACCACACAACCTAGAACATGTTCAAGTAATCAGTAAATTTGCCAGGGCACTTTTCACTCAACATTTTTTACCTCACTCAACAGTTTTTTTCTGAATTCCCAAGGACATGCTTATCTTCAGAACTAGCACCATTGAGTAAGATACTATTCCAGCTAAAAATCCCAAGAATCCTAGAGTCAGAAAAAGCTTCATATATCATACAGTTCAACCTCTCAATCATTAAGGAGTACCAACCTTGGCATTTTTTTTGTAGATGACACACCTAGTCCTGAATACTTTCAGGGATAGGTCTGCTTCCAAAATGCTAATTATTTCAAAGCATCTGATGGTTGAGCAATGCTACTTGCCAGAACGTTCTCTTATATTGGCCAAAACCTGCCTTCATGTAACTTCCTCTGGTTCTACCTTTTTGTCATAGATTGTTGAGTTATCACAGTTTCCAATCCCATTTAGGGATATCTTATGTTTGGCCCAGTGTTTGATTAGATCAATCTTTTCCCAATTATTTAATCTCTGTTATTCTACCTCACTTTCAATGTTACTAATACAAATAACCCCCTTCACACAAATTCCCTAGCTAATATTTTACTAGAGTTATTATCATTCTTTTCCCCTGCCTTTCCTAATAATCTTTTTTAAAGATCTATCTTAACTCACTTTTAAGTTGCAGATGTGATACCCCTTTACGTCTAAATATTTCAGTGTATATTTTGCAAAAACAATGACAATCTCTTAGATAACCATAAGACAATTATCAAAAACAGGGGCACCTGGGTGGCTAAGTAGTTAAGTGTCTGCCTTTGGCTCAGGTCATGATCCCGAAGCCTGACTGAACCTGACATAGGGCTCCCTGCTCAGTGGGGAGTCTGCTTCTACCCTCTCCCTCTGCTCTTCTCCCCCCTACCCCTCTGGCTCATGCTCTCTCAGGTCTTTTAAGACAACTATCAAAAACAAAATTAATATTGGTACATGAGTACCTAATCTACAGAGTGCACTCGAATTTTGCCAAGTGTCCTTTATTAGGACTTTTTTCCTAGTCCAGGATCCATTCCAGGATCACACTTCCAATAGTTGTCAAATCTATTTACTGTCCTTTATGCTGAAGAGCTGGTCCTCACATCTTTGACTTGCATGATCTTGGCATTTTCGAAAAGTCCAGTCGAGTTATAGACTGTCCTTAATTTTTGCTTAATTTATTCTCATGGTTAAATAAGATGATGTCACATTCTTTTCAGTAAGTTGCATCAAAAGGTACATGATGTTAATTGGTACCATTAATGTAATTTAATCACTTGATTTTGTTAGTATGTGCAAAGTTACAATTTTCCCCTTTGTAATTAAGAAGTGAGGAGAAGTGGTGCCTAGGTGGCTCAGTTGGTTAAGCATCCCACTTTTGATTTTGGCTCAGGTCATGATCTCAGGGTTGTGAGAGAGAGCACCACATCGAGATCTGCAGTGAGCAGAGATTGTCTCTCTCCCTACCCCTCTGGCTCTCCCCCACCTCTCTCTCCCTACCTCTGATTTTAAAAAAAAGGTGGGGGGGGGACGCCTGGGTGGCTCAGTGGGTTAAAGTCTCTGCCTTCGGCTCAGGTCATGATCCCAGGATTCTGGGATCGAGCCCTGCATCGGGCTCCCTACTCAGTAGGGAGCCTGCTTCCTCCTCTCTCTCTGCCTGCCTCTCTGCCTACTTGTGATCTCTGTCTGTCAAATAAATAAAAAAATAATAAAATCTTTAAAAAAAAGAAAAAAAGAAATGGGAGGATATTTTGGGACTATATATTTATCACTAAGCTTTCACCTACTAGTTTTAATATCTATATCTCTTGAATGAATTATTACTATGATAGTTGCCAAAAATGCTTTTTTTATTGAGAAATAATTGACATATTAGTTTCAGGTGTACAATATAATGATTCAGTATTCATGTAACTGCAAAATGATCACCACAGTAAGTCTAATTAACATTCATCATCACACAGTTAACATTTTTCTTGTGCTGAGAACTTAAGATCAACTGTCTAAGCAACTTTCAAATACACACTGCAGTATTGTTAACTGTAACCACGCTGCTATACATTGTGTTTTTTTAAATTTCTAATTCTAGAAATTTTTACGTGCAAAGTGATTTTTAACTTCTAATTCTATTATTCATTACTTCTACACTAATCACTTGGCATTCTACTCAAAGAACTTTCCCTTCTCTACTGTTTATTTATATGACTATGGGCCCGTAGATTCTTACTTTAATCAATGGGTAATAATCTATAGCTATCATTTTTATTTTGATGTTTAAATTGTCCCAGGTTTGACCAGTTGGAGCCCCCTTCCGGCTGACTCCTCTATACTTTTTTGACATTTCTCTGTCATTCTTTGAGTATTTATTTACTTTCTGGCACAATCCAATGTTTCAGGTCTAGTCTTTACTTTCCCTGCTCAATCCCTGGAATCAGGCAGTTCTCCAAGGATGACTGGTCCTTTTTAATGGACAATAATATTTGGAAACCAAAGCTTGAGCACTGTATGTGTTTGTTGCTCCTATGTGCCAGTGCTTC